ATTATTATTGCCCAACGTGTAGCTGGTATGAGCAAACCAGTTATTAGACTTGGTTCGATATCCATAATTCTTGGTATTTATAAATTACAATTTTACATTCCATGACTGACGCTTACAACTGCCAATTAGCTGAGCAATTGGGTTTCTTTAGCATGAAAGTTAAGTAAAATTTAAATATTTGAGATCCCTTAGGATTCTAGTTGAATATATATCTCAACAAATGAGGCAGCTTTTTAGCCTTTAACAAATTAACGCATTTATCATTTATGTTAATAATGTCATAACTCATGGTGAAGGGGAAATGTTCGTCTACTGCGGCAGCGCGTTCATTGAACGTTTTGGCTAGAGCATAAAAAAGTAAAATATATAAATCAGGCAAAATAAGATCGAGCGAAATATATAGCTCACAGAACAATACGCAAATTAATCAGACGCCCACACGCTGGACGCTGACTGCCTGCCTCATTCCGTTTTCTCCACAAAAATGCGACAGTTAAAGCATTTGCATTGAGCACATAAATTTTATTGCGTATACGCAGCGTTGCAGTCGTATGTCCAAATGGTCAAAAGCAGACACTGGCGCACATGATGTTTAATATTTATTTGCCCGGCCCCAATGATGACGTTGTGGCAGCCACTTTGCCTAGGCCGGCGACAGCTGCCGGGTGTCGCGTTCAGTTCAGTCGTGGCGCTGGCACAATGACAAATTACAAGTTGAAAGTTGAGTGAACTTTGGCCACTTTGATTTCTTTGCCCACTGCTCTGCGACTGCTGCAGCCGGTGATGTCTTCTGTTTGCTGTCACCTCTTGTTTACGATTTGAACTCAGCAGCCCAATCACTCGCTCAGCCTATGAAATTGATGAGGCTTTTGTTGTTTGGCAAATGAGGCGCAGATAAGCGTCAACTTTGACGCCCTCTTCTTCGGCTATATATTTGTTTTATTTTAGCTACGGCTCCTACTTTTGCTTATCAACGCACCAAATTTCGCTCTGCTGTTTTCTTGTTTTTCTATATATGATGGCGCCCCATTTGAGCCCAACGAGAAGTTTCTCTCATTTATTTGTTAGCATTCGTTCGTTTCCTCATTGATTTTGTTTCAAAACTGACTTCATCAAAGTTGCACATTGGAGATTAGGATAAAGCAGAAAATAAATTTCTTGCTCGTTTGACTTAGGCTTTGAATCAATTGACTGCGTAGAGGTTGGGCTTGTCGATGAATCTGGGTTTTGTCTATGAATTTGCTTTTTGAACTTTGCTTTCAATATAAATGAAATACAATTTGAGTGCACATCCGATGGTCTTAATATAAAAAGTATGTATATATATTCGTATGTAGTTTTTCTCATAAACTTCTTCTCATTAGTTGCTTTACAAATCCAATTAGAACTTAATGTAATGGCAAAAATTTGCATAAATCCTTGGCAACTTCGAATCCTGCACAAATCTGTGTGTATGTGTAGTGGTTGCTATGCGAAACATGCACTCATCTTTTTTAATGCCACTTCTGCTGATTTTACCTCAATCAAAGCAAATCCGCAGTGAGTGGCGGCGGTATTTGCTGCATTTCAATTGCATTTCCACTTTCCTCCAGGCTCATTAGACTTGCATATGCTTGGATTTAGCATAGACGTACGTCTGGGCTTCCCTTTGACGGCATACATACCGAATCCCCAGTGTCAATACAGAACTAGCTTCTGCTCCACATTTGCCGCTTAACTTTCGTTTTTTCCCCGCTTCTGTGCTGTGTGCGTTAGGCAAACTCTTATTCGGCATATGCAGCATTTCCTGTTTGGGAACTTGCCATTCAGTTGGTCTTTAGCTGTTAGCTTTTTGGTATTTTTGCTAATCTGCAAAATTTTCTAGCAAAAGCTGCCGCATCATTCATTAAAATCAAATCTGGCAAACAAAAAAATTCTAGTTTCGTTATTTCTAAAAAATAAAAAAGAAGAAAAAACAAAGAATAAAAACTGAGCGCTGAGACAACGATTATTGAAATGGCAAAAGGAAGACCTTGATCTTTAGATTATCACATCAATAAATGGTAATTTTTGTTGTTGCCTCCCGAGTTCGCTGCTTTGTCGTCTTCTTTGGTACGTTTCGTGTTTGTGTCTTTGGCGTGAAAGAAACGAAAACGAAATTGAAATTCTAACTCTGACAAATAGCAGGCAGCCAGCCAGCTACATCGACTTCGACGTACGCAAACTGGTGGAACCAGTCAAACAGCCATCCAAGTCGTACCAAAAGAACTTCTTGAACTAATTAAGAGTTGCCAAGCGCAAATAAAAGATATTTGCATGTTTACCTTAATAACTGCGACTCGCGCTTTTTGTATTGCAGCTCTATAAAAATAAACAAAACAAAAAACAGAAAAAAAGAAACCAAAATAATTTCCCCGTTGCTAGCCAGAAACATGATGGAAATTGCCGTACGAGTGCGATTACGTGATTGCATAAAAACCATAAAAAGCAATTTGAACTTGAAAACACAGAGAGCGTCATGCAATTGAAACAAAGTAAAAACAACATTAGCCAACCCAAACACACACACATAAAAGTATTTAGTTTTTTATACTCTGCTTATATGTTGTTTTTTAACAACAAACTGCAAACGAGTCGGAAAAGTGATGTGAACAGGTCGTATACGTATTCAATAGCTATTGAATAGTCTGCAAAGCGAAAGCAGCTTACTATGCCCAAGATAACATAACTGTAGTATATTCAGTTTAGAATCTTTTTCCTAAGATATTTTACGTTTTGGCTGCAAACTGAATTTCAATAAATGGCAAGCCCTTAATAGGCATAATTCAAACAGTGCAACTTTCTTAAGAATGAGTTAAAGTTTCTGTAAGTATAAAGCTGTCAGACTCTACAAGTTTTCAGAAAAACTTGACAATTTTTAGTTTTCTGTACTTAGACCCGTTCAATAGTAGTGATGCCTCTAAGACCTAAAAACTATGTTTAAGCAAGATGGGATCCTCGACAGGCGATTTTTATTTTGCTTTAATTTTTATTTAGCTTGAGATTTATAGAGATTTATACAAAATTTAATGTTTTCAATAAACAGAGAACATTAACAAATATTATCTAATATATATTTTAAGTTAACTATTTTTCCTTTTAATTTGTCTTCAAATATATAGTTTGAATGTCAATCAATGAAACGAAACTGGGCGAAAATTAAACTTATTAATTTTTAAGTTCAGTGAGCGCACAATAGAAGAAGAGAACAGATAAAAGCAAAAAGAAGCTTATATAATTATGTCAGGGTATTTGCACGTCGAATACATTTGCTAAAATCTGTGGCGCATGTTAACAAGTAAATCGCTTGAAATAAAACGTACTAACCATAAAATTGTTACAATGGCGACCCCAGCGCATTAGCAGCAACAACAGCAACAGCAACAACAACAACGATAACAATGTAAAACAAACAGATTAAATTGAATGGCAGCAGGCCGAAAGAGAAGAGCAACAACAACTATGGCAACAACTATAACAACAACTACAGCGAGAACAACATTAAATATAATACGAGTCTGAAAACGCTTACCAATTACGTTCATAGCCACAAACACACACAGATGTTGTTCTGGCTGCATTGATTTGTGGTTAAATATTGCACTAAGCACTCAACTATATATGTAATTATATAATGTCTATCTAAAGAAAATATAGAGTTGAGTGAATCCAAAAATATGAAGTAATTTAGTACAGCCAGAATTGACATGAGATCGAAACTAGAGTTGGTGGATGTGTGACAGGTCTCTCACTAAAGCATCTTTTGATAAAAATGGATGCTTCATAACATAAGCAGGAACATCTGAAAATACTAATATTTCCCTGCAATTTAATGTATATTTAATAATCTTCATTTATCGGCAAGATATCTGCAGAGCTGACTGAGCTTTAGGCTTACAACTGCAGCTCAGCTCTTCCTTTCAGTTTAACTCTCTCTCTCTCTATGTCTCTTAAGTGATAATAAAAACAATAATAATAAATATAAAAATAATAATACAAATATTTTAAAATATTAACTAAAGGGAATGAACAATTTTAGTCATGTATATCTTAATCATTCGTCTTGCTCTGTCTCCAGAGAAGGCTAATATTAGAGAGCTTATTTATACTAAAAAAGAATTCTTTAATATTGAGCAACAATGCAACAGATTTCAATATTCATATACTTTTTTATTACTTCATATTCTCAGACATCTTATAAACATATTTAAATATTCATCGATATCTGTTGATCAGAGCAAAAACTTAATTCGCTCAGAATCTCATATTTAGTTCTCATATTATTGTACCATTAGGGGACTGAAGTATCATTTGTTGTGGGAGAGCGTGACTTGAATTTGGCAGTACTCAGTTAGCTCAATTTAATGCCAACAATTAGCAATAGAATTTGGCAACAATTGAAAGTAAATTGATTCTGAAGGACAGTTTATGTTATTGTTGGCCGAGGCGAGCGGCGACTTCTTCGCACAGAATCCACTTGACAATGACAATTATTAAGGGACTCTGACTGTTATCCCTTCGAGTGCAGACACACCCACTCAATGAGGGATAATTGTGCGTTACGCATACGCCTGCGTGAGTTTGATTTTATTGCCGGAGCCCGAGGCTAAAGCCAATTTGTGCGGCCAAGCAATTTGGGCTAAGGAAGCCAAACAAACAAGGAAAAAAAGGAAAATACAAAAAAAATACACAAACTAAAGATAATTTTAGGGCTCATGGAAAGTTTTTTGGGAGGCTGCAAACACACGCACACATAAATTCTGGGCGTGGAGGCTGAGGGTGTAGTTCATGGCATCATTCATTAATGCGCCCTTGTCATGGCCAGGATGCCAGGATGTTGGCCATATGTGCGCGAAACACATGAAATCATCGAAAGCAATAAATATACACAGATATATATATATATATATATATATATACATATAATATTGGCCGATACTGACGACGTAATTGATTTTGGTGGTCGACAATCCTAATTAAGTTTGGCCTCAGCCATTATACGATTTCCTCATTTTAATCAGCGATTCAATGGTTAACATTCGTAAGGCAAATTATGTTACAATAATTGAACATTTATGCAATTAATTCGAGCTGCTAACGTCCCAATGGACCGTGCTGATTGAAGGGCGCTTGATAGCTCATCGGCTGACGTTCTGAATCAAATTTTAACAAATACCATTCAAAGCAAAATGCCTCCGCTCTTAGCCAGCGCAATGCATTGATGGGAAAGTGTATGGAGTCTGTAAATTCCATTGCCTTATACATTATAGTGCTTGTAGGGGTGCGCGTGCGGGTGAGAATTCGAAGTTTTCCTACAAAATAGTTGATTATTCAAGAGATTTAGCAACTTAAGCTGCATTACTTACTGAAGTACATGCCCCGTTTCTTGTTGAATAAACAGGAATATGTTATTAGACAACCTTCCTCGTCGTAATACACAATATTGGTCTTAAAGTAGGCTGTACTAAGAAGTTACTTTGGCTGGCCACAGGTCAATCGCTGCCATATACTCACGTGAGTCCTTCACATTGTACGAGGCGCATCTACGCTGATAGTCGTTAAAGAATATCGGAGACGATGCGAACGCATACCAGACACCCAAAAGCTACTCAAAGGAACATAAATAATTAAAAAAAAAAAAACAAAAAGAATTAGAATTAAGTAAATACATACCATTTCCTTGGTCAGGTTCGTTATAATTTTTATATTCGGGCAATTCTCCACAAAAAAACGCTCATCTACAGTCACTTTTTGTGTTGTTATGTGCATCACAAAGAACACCGCGAGCAGCAGCAGGCTGAAATTAAGAAGTAAGTCAGAAATTAATAATTTATTATTATTAATATTAATAAGTAATAATAAATAATATATATATATATATATATATATATATGTCCTACGTTCTGTGGCGATACATCTTGGCTCAGTGAGCTTTCAGCTAGAACTGAACAGTTGTTGAAACTATTCCATTAAATAAGTGCAAGCAGGTGGTGTTGCAACCGGGCGTCATCGACTGCATAATACGGGCTCAGACTGCATAAATGGTAAAATCTTTCTAGTAAGCCTCAAGAGAGAGTCTGCCAAGCGTTGTAGCTCTAAAACTTTGGCAGACCTCCCATGAGGCATATATATATATATATAAGTTTTGGTAAATCAACAGAGATTGTTAACAATAAGTTAGTCGTAAAAAGTTTTAGCTGTATAACTGCAGAAGATAAGGTTCCACGTATGTGGTTCTTAACGTCTCAAAGATGCGTAAATTTTTTTAATATATATTTTTGATCTTGGCTTGACTATTTGAGTTTATATTCAAAATTCAAGTCTCTAGCAACTTAACGAATATCATTTCATTTATAATATACTCTTTTCACTTCTTTAACAAGTACTACAAATTTTCGTTTATCGCATTGTTTACGATTGCCCATAGTTTTATATTTTATATTAATATAATTGACTGATATCTCAAATATTATTGTATTACTATTCGATTGTCTGTTTCCTTGGCACTCTTATATACACAAAACCCATTGTCAAAGGAAGTTTAGGTATATCCTAGTCGGACACTTCCTTTTATATTCGGTTTTCGAATCTACACTGCTGCTTCTGCTTGAATAATTTGTTCATTACTCTCTTTGTCTGCCACAAGCTTTGATGTTTAGGATAATCTTTAAGTAGAAATCAAATATATTTAATTATTATATTAGCTTAAGCAGTTTAGGTTTCCCAAACAAACTTTGACTGCATGCCAGCGGCTTTAGTTAACTAATATAAACAACTATTATTTACGTATATATTGTTTCATTTCGTCTCTCCCAATGGCTTTGATATGTTTCCTAGTGGGCCCATATATATGTTCTTCTCCCTTAGCTAATTTGTCGGATTCATTGGCCTTTCTGTTTCGCTGCTAGCACTGGTATACAGATGGATCACATATTTTTTATTTCCCAGCTGCTATTGCCTAAGCCTCTCACTAACTTAACGGTGTTAATTACTCCTAGAAAATATTATTAAAAATAATTTGTTAATTCCTTTCGGATCTATATATTTTTTATATTTCTCATTTTCATTCTAAGCTTAGCTTTAAAACTAATTATTTGTGGTCTTTTCTTTCATCTTATTTTTATCTATCGCTTTTTTAGGCAACAACAATTATGCACGTAACTTTTTCTTTATATGCTTTTCAAATCGCTCGACATTCGTTGATTTATTCAATTTGTGCTATGAAGCGTAAACTTTTTGTTTACTTGTTGGCAACACGTTGAGCCATTCGTTGTTGTTGCTGTAGCTGTTGTGTGGCAGCGGAAGTGTGCTGTGTGAACCTATCGCAACGAGTCGTGCCACTCGTTGCCCTCTGGCCTCTGTCCTCTGTCCTGTGTCCTTTTTGCTTTAAATGATTTAATGCCACATGTCGCATGCCGCATGCCGCACGTTCCATGCCTCATGCTGACGTTGGCAGTTTTTGTGCATATCTTTGAGCGTGTCACCCAGTGAATATAGATTCAGCTAGATGATCTTTTGGGAAATTCACTCACAAGTACGCGCTATTGACTGTGCTATTGCCAATTCATTACCAATTCTGTGTCTCTGAGTCTCTTGGACGTTCGAAGATATCAAAAGAAATCTTTTATTGAAAAGTAGATTTTTATATAGGGAGCAGTCGAGTTAATTGTTGCTACTCATGTGCCTCACTTATGCTGTCAAGTGAGGGCATTTAGAATGTGGACTTTTTGCTTCGCTTTTTGAAGCCGCCAAATAATGAAGCATCTGTATCAAATTTTTGATAAATCCCTCTGTAAAGCTGAGGAGGCCTATGAAAGGTCAACGCACACATTAATTGAGAAGATAAAGACGTCATGAAAGGAGCAGCTGAACAAGATCACAAAACATTATTTTTGGAAGTGATTTAAGCATTGGATGCAGCTCGTCCTAGATTTATATTATCTGCTGTGGATTACTTTAAATAAATATTAATATATAAATAAAAAATGTTTGAAATAAATATCATATTCTTGAAGTTTTTTAGAAGCTTCTCAAGTGTCTTTTTAAACAATAAAGTTGTTAATTCTGTTCATTATCTTAATGCAATTTGCGTATTAATTATTGATAAAATCTTAAGCTCTAATCAATATGGCTTTTAGGTAAAACAAAAGTTATTATAGAGATTACAAAGATTATGTCATACAAATTAACTTCTAGAAATAAATTTTCAACTTCTATCTGATGAGTAACTAAACAATTTGGTTTACTAGAACTTAGTTTAGACTAAGTATATATATAAATATTTAGAACTGCACACCTTTCAAACTGCAACTAAGCTCCACAACTGGCAGCTCCATTTGAAGTTCAATTTTCATTCACTATGCATAGCTGTGACTTGTAACTAAATACTCAATGGGCTTCAATTATGACCTGGCTATTGACTGGCATGCACAAAAACATTTCAGTTAACTGAAATGAAATTTAAATTGGCAAAAATCTGTCTCTGCTGCATACTGTGACAGTTCTGTAATTAAGTATTTGTTTGTTATTATTGCAAAGCCAAAAGCAAAAACAAATTATAATTACTGTTGTTGACTTTTCCTGTTGATGCTGTTGGCCAAGTTTGCAACAGATAAAAAGACAAAAATTATTGCACTTTTCAGCTTCATTTGGCTGAGACTGTTCCTCACAGCACTTTTACGACTGTTTTGCCAAGTTTCCCAATGATATTATAAGCTAATTGCCGTTTCTTTATTTGCTCTTTTTTCTCGCTGACAAATTTGTCTGACAAATTTGTACAGAGGCGAAGTTCTTAACTGTGGCATCCCATAAACGGGTCAAAGGTGATGTGCTCTATTGAAAGCTTTTGATTGTAGAGAGAGGGAAAGGTGCTTCAAATTTATATAACGAAATGTATTGTAAGATAAGAGAGAAATTATTATATAGCAAGCATACTTTAATATATATAATTATAGAGCTGGAATCAACAAGTTTTTACAGTAGCCGCTACTAATGGAACTATCAATTAGGGCGTGTTCATAAGACTATATATATATATATATATAATATAGATTGTGAATAATATATATAAGTAATGTACAAAAAGTGAGCAGTTGCTTCATTCTTACTTGTTTGGCACGGCTTTCTTAAGCTTCATAAGTTTGGCTTGCATAAGTTTTAACTCTGGAAACGTCTGCTCAAATCATATTATTCGTGGAACTTGGAAGTTTTTTTTCTTATTGATAATTTAAAAAAAATTTAGTAGAATTTAATTAATTATTTTTAATTGTTAATATGCTTTGAAAAGGTCGAGCAATGTCTCCTAGCATCAAATATGTTCTATTTGGACTCATTCTTTTTGTTGTTTACTCAATTGCCATCAATTTTCATCAGCTCTGTCAGCTACTTACCAACTTAGTTACTTGGCTACTTAAAGCTGCAGCAGCAGCAAGAATTTTTAGAACTTAGCGGACAGCGCGAGCTGTGCAACATTTGGACAAATTGCAGCGACAAAGTGCGGGCCAATATGTGTTGTTGGCCATATAAATTTCATTTTCGCCAGTTAAATTAATTACTGTCAACACATGCGAGGCGGCAGTAATAACAGCAGCGGCAGCAACTGACAGAGACGAAAAACTAAAGCAGGCCAAGCTAAAGTCCAACAAAGTTGAAGAAGAAGCAGAAGACATTACGAAGGCGCACAATGGGGCCAGGGCGTGGCACGGAGAGGCGCAATGGGCGGTGCTTGGCCGGGACAGCGTCGCAGCGTTGAGCGTGTAGCGAGCATAAACACAAAGTCATAAAGTTTTTACATAAAAGCATTTAATTTTATTGCATTTTTGGGCAGCAGCCAGTGGCGCAGGTCGTCCGCCAGTCAGACGGCACAGAACTGGGGCTGTTGGCGGGGGTTGGTTATTGGGTCTACATGGTCTACTGGCCGGATGAATGGGGGCCAACTTAATTTGGTGCAAATCAAGCAAAACTGCAACAGCAGCCGTCAAGTTCGCAACTAGCTCGTTGCAGCCCGGTAGCTCAGCACAATGCAATGCTAAACTTTTGTTAATGCGCGCTGCGCGCTGCTCTCTGCTCTGAAAGCTGACTCACTGACTCCACGACCGAGTGACTGACAGACTGACGTTTTCGCATAGCTCATGTGCGCCTCGCTGACGTCATACGTAACATATATGTATGTGTAGAGTCTCAACATGCATCCTAGCCAAAGCAGAAAGAAATCTCTTTAGCATTTTGTTTAGACATCTTTTGAAATACGTCTACGGAATACTTGAAATGGAAACCCAGCGAGTGAAAAATGTGCCGCGCAAAGTTTGTTTTTCTTTCTTTATCCCCCGCTTTACGCTTCCCATTTTGATTTTTGTTCTTGTTTTCTCTACTATATTTTTTGGCAAGCTAAGCGCACATGTAAATTCGAATTATGCGAAATGAGAAAATTTACGCTGCGTATACGTAATATGCATTCACATCAACAAGTGAAACAGTTTCTGCTGCACAAAGCGAACAACATTTTTGGCCAAATAAATGATATTTAATGTTTCGCCGGGGCACATTAAAAACGAAACATATCTCTGCAGACATTACTTAAATATTCCATTGAAAAATAGTTCATTGAAATTATTTAAATGTTGTCGTTAAAAATTATTTGCAATTTATTTTTTTTTAGTTCTAAATATTTATATAATATAATGTTTGCAAATTAAAAGCTTTTGTAGAATAAGTAAACCAGTTTTATTTATGTTAAAAATTGTAAATTTTATATAAAAAATATTACAAAAAAATATGAAAAATATTTTCTTCTTCTGACTTAGTTTTTGGCTTAGCATAGGAAAGCTTTACGAGGCTTGATTTTTCTATAGTGCTAACCAGAATGACAATATAGTAAAATAGTTATGAAAATGGGCTTATTTTATTTTAAGTATTCTCTTTGGAAGTCAATAC